TTATGGACCAGTGAGTGATCTTTCTGCCAGTCACAATTTCCAGGATGGCCTTTTCTTCAGAAATATTCAAAGCCTCAGGAACTACAACTCCCACAATGCCCCAAGAAGAGGAAGTGCTGGTCTCAGAACTGTGGCAACATCTTTTATCTTTTAAAACAGTGCCATCTGGTGGGCCTTAAGCCTCAAAGCTGAAATTTTAAATCTAGACATCCCTCCATCTGTAACCCTGGGACAGTTCCAACCAGCTGTTTTCAGGTATCAAAATTCTTCAGTTAAAATTATATAAAGAAATCCTTCAACACAATAACAAAAACGTAAATAACCCAATTAAAAATGGCCAAATGATTTGAATGGATATTTCTTCAAAGAAAATACACAAATGGACAAGTACATGAAAAAATGCTTGCTCTCATTAGTCATCAGGGAAATACATATCAAAACCACTTCACACTTTTAAGATGGCTATAATAAAAAATTATGCAGGGGCTTGGATTGTGGCTCAGCGGTAGAGCGCTCGCCTAGCACGGGCGGGACCCCGGGTTTGATCCTCAGCACCACATCAAAATAAAGGCATTGTGCTGTGTCCATCTACACTTAAAAAATAAATGTTTTTTTTTTTTAAAAGATATGCAATAACAAGCATTGTCAAGGATGAAGAGAAATTGGAACCCTAATATTGGAGATGTAAAATGGTACAGCCACTTTATTTTTTTTTATTTTTTATTTTTTTAAAGAGAGAGAGTGGGGGGGGAGAGGGAGGGAGGGAAGGAGGGAGGGAGAGGGGGAGAGAGAATTTTATATTTATTTTTTAGTTTTCGGCGGACACAACATCTTTGTTTGTATGTGGTGCTGAGGATCGAACCCGGGCTGCACGCATGCCAGGCGAGCACGCTACCGCTTGAGCCATATCCCCAGCCCCTGATACAGCCACTTTACAAAACAGTCTAGCAGGTCCTTAAAAAGTTAAAGGGTTACCATTTTACCTCGTAATATACTTTAGGTATATACCTATGAGAAATAAAAACTCACACAAAATTTTTACACAAATGTTTACAACAGCATTATCCATAACAAATAAAGGACAGAAATAACCTACATGTCAATAAATGGATGAATGGATGAAAAAAATGTGGTATACTTGAACAACAGAATGTTACTTGTCAATAAAAAAGAATGGAATATTAATATGTGATATGACTCAGATAAGCCTTTTTTGAAAGCATGCTAAGTGAAAAAAGCCAGTTAAAAAAGACTACATTCTATTTATATGAAATGTCCCAAACAGGGAAATCTACAAAGGAGGGAACAAAAATAGTGGTTGCCCAGGACTAGGGGAATGAAAGGGGTAAAGGCAGATTTCTTTTGGATGTGATAAAAATGTTCTAAAATTGTGGTAATGGTTGACACTCCATGAATACACTAAAAACTACTGAATTTATACTAAATGATTGTACTATATGGTGAGTGAATTATATCTCCATATAGCTGTTAAAATATTCTTCTGACCAAATGTATAAAAGTACCATTTTCCACACTTGTACATTGCTGGTGGGACTGCAAATTGGTGCGGCCAATTTGGAAAGCAGTATGGAGATTTCTTGGAAAGCTGGGAATGGAACCACCATTTGACCCAGCTATTCCCCTTCTCGGTCTTTTCCCTAAAGACCTAAAAAGAGCATACTACAGGGACACTGCTACATCGATGTTCATAGCAGCACAATTCACAATAGCAAGACTGTGGAACCAACCTAGATGCCCTTCAATAGACGAATGGATAAAAAAAAATGTGGCATTTATACACAATGGAGTATTACTCTCCATTAAAAAAAGACAAAATCATAGAATTTGCAGGGAAATGGATGGCATTAGAGCAGATTATGCTAAGTGAAGCTAGCCAATCCCTAAAAAACAAATGCCAAATGTCTTCTTTGATATAAGGAGAGTAACTAAGAACAGAGTAGGGAGGAAGAGCATGAGAAGAAGATTAACATTAAACAGGGATGAGAGGTGGGAGGGAAAGGGAGAGAGAAGGGAAATTGCATGGAAATGGAAGGAGACCCTCAGGGTTATACAAAATTGCATACAAGAGGAAGTGAGGGGAAAGGGGAAAAAAAAAACAAGGGGGAGAAATGAATTACAGTAGATGGGGTAGAGAGAGAAGAGGGGAGGGGAGGGGAGGGGGGATAGTAGAGGATAGGAAAGGCAGCAGAATACAACAGACACTAGTATGACAATATGTAAATCAGTGGATGTGTAACCGATGTGATTCTGCAATCTGTATACGGGGTAAAAATGGGAGTTCATAACCCACTTGAATCAAAATGTGAAATATGATGATATCAAGAACTATGTAATGTTTTGAACAACCAACAATAAAAATTATTTTAAAAAATTAAAAAAGAGAAAAAAAATAAATAAAAGTACCATTTTCCAAATTGCTCTCAATATAGCAGAGGTTGTCAAACTTTTTCTGCAAAGAGCCAAACAATATTCTAGGCTGTGCAGACCATATAGTCTCTATTGCAACTTAGCTCTGCCACAATAGTGAAAGCTGCCATAAACAAGATGTGAAGGAAACAATGTGGCTGTATTCCAGTAAAACTTTATTGACAAAGGTGGCAACCTGGACCTCTGACCTAGACTACAAATCTCCCTTAATCCACATCACCACCCTCTGCAAATGACAGGGCAGGAATGCCTATAAAGTGGTAGAGACTCAGAGGCTGTCTTGTCCAATGATAAACAAGACTTCCAGCCTTGACATCACTGGGTGTTTGCATGAGCTAGAAATGCTGCTTCTCCAGAATATCTCTCCCTCCAGATAGTCACCAGATCTCTGACAAACTGGTACAGATCTGATGGGCCACGAGAGCCTCACAGAGGTCTCTTCCTCCAAAGCCTCAGGGATCCTTGTCTAAGCCCTCCCTCTCTTTTTTTTTTTTAATTTTTTTTTTATTTTTCTTTTTAGTTGTAGATGGACACAATATCTTTATTTATTTATTTTTATGTGGTTTTGAGGATCGAACCCAGTGCCTAACACATGCGAGGCAGGCGCTCTACTACTGAGTTACAGCACTATTCCTAAACCCTTTCTCTTTTTGATGACTTTCAATGGTACAAACATTTCTAAGGTACCACATTCAAACACTTTGTCAACTTCAGTTTTCATCAAAAAGGACCCACTTAGGTTTAACCTTCCACCAATCCAAAGACACGCAAAAATCTCACAACTGGTAAAGCCTTTGCAGAGCATGAGGCCTGGTTTATGTACCCCTCTCCCTGGGCCTCATGAGTGCCTTCCTGGGATGCCCTTCCTTTTTTTTTTTTGACATTCACTAAGTTGGTTGTGTAGGCTGGCTTTGAACTCCTGGACTCAAGTGATCTTCCTACCTCAGCCTTTGAAGTAGTTGGGACTAAAGATGCATGCCACCACACCCTTCTTCCTCTTTACTAGCTGTGCATTGCCCATTCTAGGTCCTTCGATTAAGGATAGATGAAACCTCAGCTTCCTGCTACATCCAAACTCCTTCCCCATTTGTATGAAGTTATGGAACTAACAGACAGAAGGATCCTCACAGGCCACTACAGCTTCAACTCACTGAAAAAAAGGAGGAAGTAGTTACATGCCCAAGATCACAGTACTTCATAAGTTAAACAAGCACCAGACCCCCAATTTGTATTCCTGTCACAATGCCAAACTGCCTGTGAAGTTCTGAATTTCCTAAAGCAGGTAGTGTTAGGGCAAGGTCTCATACAACCTGCTGTCACTCTGGATATGCTATAGACACCCAACACTCTTCCTCCTTCTCATCACTGAACTGTTTCTCATAGAGCAATGCCCAGCTTAAATGCCCTTTCACCCCAGGCTCTTTCTAGACTCTGAACATCCCCAAGACAGGAAGAGGTTCTTCTTTGTGTTCTCACAGCTTCTTTGTACTTCCCTTATCAAGTATATTATAAGTCATTGGGTAGTCAGGATAATGTAGCCTTCTGCATTTGACAGTGAACATCATTCAGGTAGATATCACATCTGTCTTGAAGATCATGGTGCCTCCTGCCCCCAACACAGAAAAACTAATCAAATGGAAGGAGAGTATTACTATTTTTCATTCACTAAAATCAGTCACTTCCTTTCTTACCCTCAAGTTTCTTCTCCAGCGGCAATGAAAGAGCCACTACTTTCTTCTAGGCCTTATCACAGTCACAGGTGGACAAAGGAGGCATGGTGTCAACTCCCACTTAAGAGAGAAGGCTCCAAAGAAAGCAGGGGTTGTGGCAGGGCACTAGTACAGAGGACCTGGAAACTGCAGAGAAAAGTGCATTGGATGGGGTCCATCTGCGCTAAGGACCCAAAGTACAGGCCAGCCTTTGCCCTACACAAAATTCAGAGTCTGCTCCGTGACCTTGGGAGTTCTGACCCAGAGACCAAATTTCCTGAGGGAAAACAAGAAAGACACCTACTTCCCTCATTAAAGAGAGGAAAGCCATAAGCTCCGAGAAAAGCCGCACAGGCCAAATGTCAATCGCAACCTCTGCCCCGACTGCGCTGCAAATCTTCGGGCCGTCTCCTTTCCCATCTACAACAGGATTAGATTAGCCTGAATGACCTCGAGGGCCTAAGCCCTGCCTCAGTCACCCGACACTGCCCGGCCGAAGACCTCAGCCCAGTGTAGCCCGGCTTGGCCACTGGCCAAAAGGTAACGTCCTGGCCTCACCTGTCGGGGGAGCGTAGGTCCGGACCGGGGGCTGGGGACTTGGCCCCGGACTCGCCGAGATGATAGGGTCACTAGGGGGCCGGTTCAGGAGGTAGTGCCCACGGCCTCGCAGCCGAAGGCAACTCCTCCACATCGCGCCGCGGGACCTGGGAGGACACGCGCAGCGAAACCAGAAAGCAGGAAACAGCGAAAAAATCCCTAAGCCGCAAGCCGCTGGGGCTGTACGGAAACCTTTCACCACGCTCCCAGAGCCCTCAACCTCCCCTGGACGCCGCCATCTTCCATATGACACCTACGGCGCGCCGTCGCGGCCGCGCGCCCCTGGCGCACACCCCCAGTCAATCAGCATCACAAACGCACCTCGCCCCGCCCCCTTCGCGCGCGCCTCCGGAAGAAGACTACAAGTCCCAGAAGGTAGCTCGCGCACCTCGCCACGTGTTTTCTCCGCCCGCCAATGGGCGGAAGCGCCGCGTGAGCCTGCTCCCGCCCCCTCTGCCGATCTCGAGCCAATCGGAAGGGGTAGTGTGTGTGTGTGCGAGGGCAAGTGGGGAGGGGGACCCAGCTCAGGACAGGGAGGCCCTGCTCGCAGGTCCCGGGGTCCGGGTGCCGGCCCGAGAGCTTGGTCCGCAGGCAGCGGGCGGGTGGTGCCCCCTCCTGCCCCCACCTCGCGCGTGCGCGCCCCAGCCCCTCCCTCCCCGTCACCCTCCTCAGCTCCCGCGCGGCGGCGGCGGTTCCTCTCCCCCTCCCCCCAGCCCTGGCTCCGGGGGACCCCGCGATGCCGGTCCGCACCGAGTGTCCCCCGCCGGCCGGTGCCTCGGCCGCCTCCGCGGCCTCGCTCATCCCGCCGCCGCCCATCAACACCCAGCAGCCCGGCGTGGCCACCAGCTTGCTCTACAGCGGCTCCAAGTTCCGCGGCCACCAGAAGAGCAAGGGGAACTCGTACGACGTAGAGGTGGTGCTGCAGGTGAGCGCCGGGCCGGGCCGGCCGGGGCCCGAGGGCCTCCTCGCGGCGCTCACGGGCCGTGCCCGCCCTCGGCTCCTCGAGCCCGCAGCCGCGGACCAGGCCCTCACCGCCCTCACCGCCGGGGCCTCCTGCACCCGGCGCCTCCCACCCGGGACCTGCTCCGCCGGTGTCTCACACACTCCGAGCCCCAGACCTGTGCTGCCCCTCGGACCCAGAGCCTGTGGTGACCGGCTCCTGGCAGACCCTGAACACTGTCCAGACTTGAATCCCGGGGATCCGGAAGCCCTGCCTTGTCTGGCCTTCCTCTGGCCTGGGTCCTTCCTCCCCAGACCTGTCGCCCTACACCAGTCCCTCTCAGACCCTGAAGAACTCTCCATTGGTTTCCCCAGACTTGGGGCCCAGGCCAGATTCTGCCAGACCTGAGACACGATCCCCTATTCTCAGACCCTGGTGGTTTCCTCTGTAGGAGAGGTTGATCAGCCTCCTGAGACGGGGGAGCATCCTCCCTCCTTTGGCTGAGAGCCCCGAATCCACACTGATCCCTCCCTCGTCCCTGTCTCCAAATAAACCAGGTATTCACACCCTGGGTGCCAGAGTGGAGCTCTTCACCAGTCTGTTAGGATCTTACCCCTTGGGGTCCCTGATACCACCTCCTACTTCAGTTTCTTAATGGTCCAGGCACCCAGCTGCCCTCTTCCCCCAGGCTTCTCATAACTTCCTACCCAGTTCTGTGGCCACTTCCCATCAGCTCCAAGTCTTCACTGGCCTCTACCCAGACTTTCATCTAGCTCATTACTTGGTCCAAGGGACCTTCTTTCAAAGTGTTCTTAACTTTATCTACACAGGCATAGGGCTTCCTCCGAGTCTCTGATACCAGTATACTGGGAAATCTAACTCACCCAGTTTTTATTTTGTGTCCACTCACCTCCCCCTGTTTGACCTGGATTTCTGAGTACCTGCTGCCAGTCCCAGATCAGCTTTGGAATTACAGCTTCACCTGCCCAGGGCCTTTCCTATGCCTTACCTCTCTCACCCAGATGTTGGCACACTTGACAGTTTTTCCTAGCCAAAGGAGCTTGGTGGTGATAGATACTCCCTTTTATCTCCCTTCCGCACAAACTATTCTTCCTCAGTTTTCACCCCTGCCTACTTGAGGACCCACTTTCCCCATTCCTTTACCCATTCTTTCTGATACCAAAAGCCCCTCCAAACACCTGTCCTTTGAAAACCCTCCCAGAAGCTTAGAGGCCCTATATGCTGCCTCACTGCCCTCCTTTGTGAGGGTGGACAGTACCTGTTCCTCATGCTCACTCTTTGCCCTCTTAGTCTCTCTTCTGAACAAGTAGACTTTCTACTCAAAAGACAGTAAGGGTGCCTCTTCTTTCTGCTAACTGTAGAGCATTCCTTAGTTCTTTTTTTTCTTACTGCTTTGTGAGAGTAAATAGTTTTTCTTCTGGCTTTGGCTGAGAAAGCTGCATCCTCTTGTTAATTGTGTCTTTGATCTGTAAATTTAAAAGTTCTATCATGAGCTGTGATATTTATTGTAATTAAAAAGCTACTGTAGCTGGGATATTTTAGTCTCATAACTCTATGCCTAATGTGATTCCCTTTTTTTTGCTTAAAATGTGAGACTTTATGAAGGTCACACTGTTTTTGTTTTTTCCTGATGTTGTTTGTTTTGTTTTAAATTCAGCTAATCATAAAATTCTGAAATGAGATCCCTGGGTCATGTTTGGACAGTCCCAAGTTTGTGCCCATTTGATGTTTTCCAGTGTGGTAGTCTACCGACAGGGTAGCTAGGTGTCTAAAGGAGTCTGCTTTGGTTACTTCAGTGACTATTCCTTTCTGTGATTATTGTGTTATTTCTGAACTCTCGTCAGGTGCCAGTCTCCTTGTGAACCAATAAAAGCCGTGATTGAGTGATTGGTAGGTCTCAGGCCTCCCAGACCATCTGACTGATGGTTGGAAGACACTTAAGTAGGATGTCTGATGGTGGGGGCAGTGGCCATGCCAAGGAATGCCACCCTACATCTGGATTGGTGAGCTGCTTATTCACATCATTGCGACTTGTTAGTGGCATGTGAATTGCCCCACCATCTGGTTTTTCAGCCAGGACAAGTTTCTTAGACTTAGCCTTCTCAGAATATTTCTCCTGTCTTTCATAAGCCTCTTTCTTTTTCTTTTCAAGCACCTTTATTCACATATAATTCACATACTATATAATTCACCTATTAAAGTATACATTTCAGTAATTTTTAATATATTCAGAGTTGTGCAGCCATCACCACTACCAAATTTTAGAACATTTTTATCATCCCCCAAAGAAACCTTCATACCTTTCGCTACCATAGGCAACTGCTAACTTTTTTTAATATATTTGCCTGTTCTGGCTATTTCATATAACTAGAAACAATATTTATCTTCTTGTGACTGGCTTATTTAACTTTGCATGATATTTTCAAGATTCATGAAATTCATCCATATTTTAGAACATGTCAACATTCATTCCTTTTTATTGTTCCAGTGTTCATTGTATGGATGTAACAACCTTTTGTTTATCCGTTGATAGACATTGATGTACATCAGTTGGTAAACATTTGGGTTGTTCATACTTTTTGGCTATAACAAATAATGCTGCTATGAACATCTGTGTACAAATTTGTTCATTTATGGTTGTTTTTGAGATGGGGTTTCACTGTATTGTCCAGGATAACTTTGAACTCGTGTACTTAAGTGATCCTCCTGCCTCAGCCTCCTAAGAGCTAGAATGTAGACTTAGCACTGTGCTCAGCTCATGTACAGATTTTTATGTGGACATGCTTTTACTTCTTTTGGGTGGGTAGACAGACCTAAGAGTGAAACTGCTGGGTCATATAGTAACTCTATATGTAACATTTTGATGAACTACCAGTCATTTCTAAAGTGGCTGTCATTTTACATTTCCACCAGTGACATATGAGGATTCTAAATTTGCACATCCTCTCCAACACTTGCTATTGTTCATCTTTTTGACTGTCATCATCCTGATGAGTGTGAAATAGTAGCTCAGTGTGGTCTGTGTTTGAATTTCTCTAGTGGCTGGTGGTGATGAGTATCTTTTGTGTGCTTTTTGGAGCATTTTCTATTGGGATATTCCAGTATAGTGTTCCTCAAACCTTTATGGGGTTCTGACTGGATCTTTTTTACCCTTACTGCGACTACTTTTTCCCTCTCCTACCATTCTAGAAGCCACCAGTAGAGTGAAGCCTGGGTCCCTTTAAAAGGAATATTAAAAAGAGCAGCTGTTGGACACAGCTGTGCTGTGAGACTTCCTTGCTGAACATTTGCCTTGTTATCTTTCTCATTGAGATTCTGCCCCCTCATTTGGTGAAAACTGTATGTGTTGTGGGGTTATTTTGAGTTCATCAACCATCATCAAGATCAATTTGGACAGAATAGGAGAGACACATGGTTGAACGGAGGCCAAACAGAAATTCTGATTCTTGAGCATGTGATAATCCATGCAAATACAAGCCAATTTACAGTTCAATTTTTAATCTTATTAGCAAGTATCCCTGCCACCTGATACCCTTTCCAGCAGCTGTGAAACCCCAAACTATACTGAATTCAATGAGAATTGCATACATGAAATTTAAGGCCTCAGGTTAGAACTTTTAATAAAAGTTCTTTGCTGAACCATATTAGTGTGAATCAGCTGTTTTCCATAATGTCCAATGCCAAGGTCAGCAGATGAGGACACATAAAATGCTTTGGCAGTTTTCACATGGAATACCTTTGTCACCAGCACCAAACTGTGAAGCCACTTTAGCTTTATTGAAGCTCAATTGCTTCGGTGCTGACATCATCTGGCTGACCAAGATCATTACAGTTTTTAAGGACTGCCTTAGTATTTCATTTATGGTATAATCGACCAATATCTGATAAATGCCACAAAACTTTGCAAGTTTCTTGAAATGAGCCTTAATTTAAAATGAAAGTCTTATTGTGCTACAGGTACCACTAAACCTTGTTTTGCTTTGATTCAAAGGTTATTAGGCAGAGTTCCAGAGTTCGTGACAATTGGATTCATTTTAAGTCACAAACTCACACTCTGCCTGTTTAGGGTGAGTCTGTATAGATTTGGATAAATGTACTAGTTAGTATGCTTTCAGCCATGAGTAACCATATTTTGCATTTCAAAATAGTTTACAGAACAAATGAACCTATTATCTCACATTGTAAGGCGTTTGGAGGCGACGTGGTCCCAGGATAGTTAATTAAGGGGCCAAAATTCTTCCATCTTACTGGGCTGTCATCCCTAGCGTTGTGTGGCCTGTTTCTCCTCCTGATCTCTTCTTAATGGCTGTTCTAAGATTGGACTCTGCATACAGATACTACCACCACCAGGGGAATGAAAAAGGCCATTTCTTCCTCATGTGCCTCTTTGAAAGCCAGTGCTCTTTTGTGGGTGCACCCAGGAGATTTTTCACACCCATCTGATTGGCCACAACTGGGTCACTCACCCCTAAACCAATGACTTGTAAGGAGAATGGGGGCTTGTGCTTATCCTAGATCCATCAGGGTTGACCAGATCTTTTTTTTGTGGGGGTAGGGTATGGAGGATTGACCTCAGGGGCACTCGACCACTGAGCCACATCCCTGGTCCTATTTTTTGTATTTTATTTAGAGACAGGGTCTCACTAAGTTTTTTTAGCACCTCACTTTATGCTGAGGCTGACTTTGATCCTCCTGTCTCAGCCTCCTAAACTGCTGGGATTATAGGTGGTGCACTACTGCACCCGGCAGTTGACCAGGTCTTTCAGGATAGAGTAGCTGCCAGAACAAAATCTAAACCCTGCCTGCCTGAAAAAAGAGGAAATTGGTTGTAGGCACTCGGCAGAGTCTCAGCAACCAAAATAAGTGGTGGCTACTAAACCTCAAAATTTACTATGTCTGTTATTCCTATTTATTTTCGGCTCATGACTCTTCTCATTAAGAAACTCAAGCATCTGTATGTGAATAGACAGGGCAGAAATTTACAGTATAATCGGAATTTTGATTGGTATTTTGGTTCAAAACTAAAATTATACCATGTAAGTCTTCATAAGGTTCTGTTCCTGAATATTATTCTCATTTCATAAAGAAATAGTGCAGCATGGTACTTTGGATAAATAACAGGGCAGGAGTACATTTTTTAGACTAGTGATTGAGTAGCAAGGAAATAAAGGGAAACTAGTTAGACATTAGAAAGTCAGACCCAGGTTTAGGGATGATACCCATGTGTACAGGTAAATAGACCTGGTGCTCAATAACGCACAGTGTAGATGAACTTGTGTTGGAGACTGCAGAAAATGAGATTTGAGAAGTGGGCTCACTGTTCCCAAAAGGCACTTCAGTCCCAAGATTCCAGCTTAAGGAAGTTGAGAGGGCCCTGAGATCAGTTTGTATTGTCAGAACAGGCACATGTATAGTGGTGCAGTCCCAAAGGCTGGTAGAACCTTTGGCTACACTGTCCTTGCACTGACCACCAGGTCTACCTCTCTATCCTAGCCTCACAGGGTTTCCAAAGTACTCTCCCAGCATTTCAAGGTGTATTCATCTGTGTATATAATGGTCTGTGTGTCCTTTTCTTTTCAGCACGTGGACACAGGGAACTCTTATCTTTGTGGATACCTGAAGATTAAAGGCCTTACTGAGGTAAGCACTTGCTCACTTGAGCTAGAACTGGGAAGTGGGTGGCACGCTCAGCAGTCCTGCAGGGTTGAGGGCGGGCAATCCCAACTCCATTTCTAAGCATTGTTATCATATAGGGAACATACAGTGCAGTTCTGATGTGTCCTGCAGAGAAGTACACACATCCACAAATGTTTCCCCCTTTGGTGGTAAGGATAGAAACTAGGACCTGAGGTGTGCTAAGCACACATGCTCTACCGTAGTTCTGCCCCTCATAAATCATTTAAAGAAAAGTTTGTAAATATGTCACAGTTTGATCAAAACTATTCATTTTGTTATATTTTTTAAGTAAAAATGTGTGTATATATATGTGTGTTTAAGTATATACATACACATAAATATATACATGGTGAGAATATAGGTACTATAAGTACCATAAGTTTAGTAGTCTCTGAGGTAAGCATCAATCATTCAAAAACTGAACTTTATTGGAACATTGAAAAGTGGCTGTCCCATCTTCAGCCTGATAGGTAAAAGTAGAGTGTTTTCCTTCCTTAGATCTAAGTTTTCAAACTTCAGAATTCCTGGTATTTAGAAGGTAAGAAAGAGCATCCCTTCTTTTCCATTAGTGGGTAAACAGGAAAAGGAAGGAAGGACTGACTGGCCACTGAGCTCTGCTGTGAGTGCCTGGATGTGACCTTTCTGCAATGTCCTGTGGCCTGTTATCACTTCTTATAGTTTTGATGACCCAGCAGTATTGGGCTGTGTCCCTTTCTCCCTTAATTTCAGTTTCCTCATTTGAAAAGTAAGGATCAAAAATCTGCTCTATGTTTTTAGTGAACTTTCTAACAGGAGGAAGCCATGTTAGAGTAAGTGGCAGGCAAGAATATGTGAATAGAGGATGATTCCCTCTGGTTCTCCTGCTTTACTTTGCTTTTCTTTCTTTCTTTCTTTTTTTTTTTTTGGCCATGCACTACCACTGAGCTATACCCCCAACCTCTACCTACTCTTCTATATTAGGAGATGAATTGAGGATTTCCTGTGAAATTTGTTGTCTTGACAAAAGGTATCATCAATCAAGTAGGGGTAGAAAGTGACAGTAAAGGATTTTAGCCTAAAACAGAAAATGCTCAATTTGTAAGGCAATAGGTATGTTTGTTAGTGGAGCACAGAATATAAATATTTAACTTCATAAAGAATCCAGCAAAATGTATAGCACATTGGAATGTTAACTCCAAAGCCAGTCATTTGGGTCATAGGAAGCTGCACAGAAATGATAAGTAACATTAGAAATCTAGACACAGTAGACAGAAATGCTAACAACTGTGATCTCTCCATTGGAAGCAAGTTGCCTGAGTAAGGGACTTACTGAGGGAAACCCCTATGAGTCAAGAACAGCAGTGCTCCTTTAGGAGCAGGCACTAGCATGGCCCTTCACTGGGGCAGCCAGCCCACTGGGAACTCTAGGCTCTTTTTCCCCCCCCATACTTTTGTGGGATTCGTTGTTACATATTCATACATGCACACAATTTTACAGTATTTTTCCCCAGTATCTCCTCTTTCCCTCTCTTCCTTCCTCCCCCTGGTAACCTTAGGCTCTTAATAGAACTGTAGGGACTCATTCCTCTTGGCAAAACTGCTCTTCAGATAGAATGACCTCTGAAGGTCACAAGTCTACCCCTATCAAGGTCAAGCGATGGACCGATGCTTCCAGTTAAAGAAAGGTCCATCTTTTTCCTAGGGTTTGCAAGTCCTGCTCAGGCCTCAGATGCTTACAATTATTATTATTATTTTTTTTTTTTGTACTGAGAATTGAACCCAGAGTTGCTCTACCACTGAGCCACATCCCCAGCCCCTTTATACTGTTTATTTTGAGACAGAGTCTCATTAATTTGCTGAGTGTGTTCTTGAACTGCCATCCTCCTGTCTCAGCCTCCTAAATCACTGGGATTATGAATGTTTACTACTGTACCTGGTAGAATTTTTTGGGGGTGGGGAGATTTTTCCCCCCACATTTTTTATATTGGTGCATTATAATTGTACATAATCAGAATTATTTTTTTAAATAACTTTACTAGTAGCTTTATTGAGCTATAGTTCACATACCATATAATTCACCCATTTAAATTAGAATTCTAGATTTCTAATGTTACTTATCATTTCTGTGCAGCTTCCTATGACCCAAATGACTGGCTTTGGAGTTAACATTCCAATGGGCTATACATTTTGCTGGATTCCTTATGAAGTTAAATTTTTACGTTCTGTGCTCCACTAACAAATGTACAATTCATTGACTTGGTATATTCACAGAGTTGTACAGCTACTTGATAACTTGTAAAAATTACATATCTGATGTATGGTTGCTGTAGATTATTAGTAAAAATGCAGAAAAAATGTAATTAATACGAATGAATTTTTTACCTATATTTTTTGTTTGTTTTATCATTTATAATTGTTAGAATATCAGATTTGTCCTTTATTTGAGTTAGACCATGTAAATGGTATGGGTCTTAGTCTTAATAGTCACAATGTGCAATATTAAAAATTAAATTGAAGATAATGTGCCTCACATTTACAAAAGCACAGCTTTATGGTTTATTCGTGTGCCTTTTAGAAATGAAATCCCAGTATCATAAAGAATGTGTGTTAAATAACATCATGCATGCCTGAGCCAGCCACCATTATACCTTTCCCAGGAGCCCAGCAACTGGCAGGGTCCATGGTCGGCCCCTTTACTAACTCCTTAGATGAGTTTGGAAGCTTCAGTCAAGGTTATGCTCGACTTTTTGGAAGCAGAGAGATGGATCACACACTAACCAAACTCACAAGACACTGTTATACAAACAAAAGTGCCCATTTACTTTTGGAATGAGGTGCTTGCCTATTCCAGAAGTGCTCATTGACATACTGGCCAAATGAATGTTAATCCCTCAAAAGACAAGTCTGCAGAAAAGCCAATGCACACATGATCTGACAGTTTTAGGTGAGCCTTGAATCAGTGAGAGCTGTTGGTTGATGACTTCCATGACTGAAACCCATTGCCTGCCTGGGGTTAGGGGCTGTTGCTGGCTACCTGTCTCCCTCTTTGATTTTTTTTTCCCCCTAATATTCTTCCTGCTGGCATGTGTTTTTCTTTGCCTCTGTAAATTATCCCCCATTAGGCTACATAGTCAAATGCTTGAGTTTCCTGTGCTGATCCTGAGAAATACTCAATCTTTTTTTTGTAGCTTCTGTACATATTGAATCTCATTCACTAAGTATTTGTTTAATTTACCACAGTTTGCGGGTATCTTGTAGTTACGCTGACACACTGCCTAAAGTATTTTAATATTCTGTCAGTGCAGAATCATTCCTTAGGAAAACTAGTAGTTTAAATCATAAGGTTTTTTCTTTTCCTTTTTTAGTGCTGGAAATGGAACACAGGCCCTCATGCATACAAAGAAAGCACTACAGTACTCCTACCCCTAATCTATAGTGCACACACACAAAAAAGGTCAAAATGCTCATTTTGGGTCTGAGGATGTAGGTTGGTGGTAGAGCAACTGCTTCAGTGTGCTAGGCCCTGGATTCAATCCTCAGCACAAAAGTATTTTTTAAAATAAAATCACAATATCTTATTTTGATATTTTCCTTTTGCCATAGGAGTATCCAACCCTTACGACCTTCTTTGAAGGAGAAATAATCAGTAAAAAGCATCCTTTCTTAACTCGCAAGTGGGACGCCGATGAAGATGTTGATCGGAAACACTGGGTAAGTAGGACTCTGCTCTCAGCCGTCCAGAGACGGCTGGAGAGCTGAGGGACTCTAGGAGCCAGAGACCTTGTCCCTTACCAAGAGGCATTTGGGGCTTTGCAGCCAGAGGGTAATTGATTCCCACACACAAACTCCAGTTGTTTCATCTTCCTTTTTCTCTGCCCCCCCACACTTTTTTTTTTTTTTTAATGGTGGCGATGCTGGGGGCCTTGTGCATGCTAGGCAAGTACTTGTGCTGAATCCGGGGCCTTGTGCATGCTAGGCAAGTACTTTACCACTGAGCTATCTCCCCAGCCCTCCATCTTCCTTCTGAAAAGTTTAGCTACTGACCAAACTCCTCTTAAATAGCACACAGCTAATGATGGCAACCCCTGAGTTCCATATACAGCTGTGGATAGCTGTCAGAATCTCAGCAGTATCCCTGTTCTTTACTACCTGTGTCCATCCTCTAATTACCTCTGCTTGGAACACCCCTGTGAAACAGACAGCAGTCCTGTCTGATATTGTGGTTGACCTGAGATAAAAATACCAGTGATGGAAATTTAGTGGGAACTTAACCTTGTATTGTTTTGTTCTGTATTTGCAGTACTAGGGATTTAATTCAGGGGCCTTTTACCATTGAGCTACATCTCCAGCCGTTTTTTTTTTTGATCTTGAAACAGGGTCTGGTTAAGTTGCTAAGGCTGGCCTCAAACTTGCAATCCTCCTGCCTCAGCCTCTTGAGTTGCTGAGATTACATACAGGTGTGTGCCATGGCACCCAGCTAGAACATTGTTTATTTTCATCCTGTCAGGACAGATACAGAGCAAGTTTAACCTAAGGACCAGCCAGACACCATGGAAAAATCCAGGCTCCCCACTTTTTATCTGCCAAGCATACCATGTTCTTATTCCCCAATAGTGAACACTTAAAAACAACATAGGACTACTGTCCTGGCATCTTTTCTCTGGTTGTCAAGTCTTGTGTGTTCAGAAACTGTTTCTCAACTTATCATTGAAGCCTTTGGCTTAGTTGACATGGTGATGATACGTTTTTGTTTAATATGGAGAAAGTCCAATGTTCTTATCCATTGTAAACCCACCAGAGATGACTGGGTCAGTAAAGAGGATTCTAGAACTCATTCCTCCTGCTGCCACACAACCCCAGCAACTAAACTCTCCCTGATTCTGGGACCACAGCCTATGGCAGGGACTGCTGCAGACTCTTGTCTGTGTCAGCCTCACTGTGCATCACCACTTTGCTTATTGATGCTTTTCAAAATTTTGGGTTTCAGTTCAATTTAACTTTAAACTTGAGCCTTTTAAAACATTTTTCTGAAAGTTATATGTTTTGAGTACAGCAAGTGAACACCAAAAGCTAGATAGTCACTTATGTGTTTTTAAAATATGAAGAGAAGAGCAAGATTCAGATATCCAAAAGGTTGGGGGGAGCCCAAGTAGTGTGTGATGGTGTCCCTCAGAGTTGGTAGGCTCCTGAACCCACCCTTGCCCAGGGCTGGGCTTGTCTTACTTGGCTTACCACCTCACCAGATGGCTCCTTCCTCACCTGGAAAACACCAGTGTACAAAGTTTATCCTTGTAATAAACCATACTCTCTCTCTCTCTCATGCAACTTTGTTTGCTATTTAAAATTGGTCCTGCAAAAAGCATAGTCTTTGAGGCCGGTGACGATTCAGTCCTCGGCACAAATCAAATACCTGGAAGCATCTGTTAGTTGCCCCATTAATTTCCAGTAGAACATTGGACCAGACTTTGCTAGACTGGATTGAAATATTCAGGGTGAGAGAGAAACGAAGAAGGCCACGGGTCACCCCGGCCTGAGGATGGAACCCAGAACTTCATACACAAGAGGCAAGTGCTGTACCCCACTGAGCTACATCCCCAGCATCAATGTGTTATTTTGATTCATGTACGCATTAGGTAATGATTAATTCAGGATAATTAGCATAGCCCTCACCTTAAACTTTTATCACTGGTTTTTTATTTAAAGTGTTTTTAAAAAACAAAATAATACATGTTTATTTAAGACAAAAAACTACAGGGAAAAAATTGTGTATAATGACAATACCTAAAGCTAAAACAGCTGTTAGTCTCTTCCTGAATCTCTTTTGGGTATATACAGTCAGTCTCTCTATATGAGGGTTCTGAATTCATGGATTTAGCCAACTGCAGATAGATTTGGGGAAAAAATTACATCTGTATTAAATACGTGCACACTTTTTTTCTGGTTGTTAATAATGACCTAGTTAATACAGTAAAACAACTATTTGTATAGCATTATATTAGGTATTAGAAGTAACCTGGCTGGTGCATGCCTATTATCCCAGTGACTTGAGAGGCTAAGGCAGAAAGATCACAGTTTGATCAGCCTTGGCAACCTAGTGAGACCCTGCCCCCCACCCCCCAAAAAAAGGACTGGGATGTATCTCTGATAAAGCTTCCCAGAATTCAATCCCCAGTACCAAAAAAAAAAAAAGGTAATCCAAAGATGACTTAAAATATATGGAAGTATATGTGCAAGTTGTATGTAAATGCTATCCCATTTTAAATAAGGGACTTGAGCATCCACAAATTTTGATATCTGCAGAGGGTCCTGGAACCCATACTCTGCAGATACCAAGGGATGACTATACCTTCTTTTGTCTTTTTAAAAATGGCATCATAAGATTCAGTTTTGTAACCTATTTTTAGTCTGTTTTTTCTTGGGGGCTGGTAGGAGAAAGGGTCTCACTATGTTGCCTAGGCTGGCCTCAAACTCCTGGGTTCAAGTAATACTCTTGCTTCAACCTCCTGAGTAGCTAAGACTAAAAACATATGCCTCCTCACATAGCTGTACAGTCTCCTTTTAAAATTTAACCACATTATATCTGTTTGCAATTTCTACCTAAATTGCTGTCCCAAATTCCTATATTATGTCAATGGACCAATTTTACTATATCCTCTCTCCTTTGTGGCTATGCTGTCTAGTGATTCTGCACAGTTCGTTTTGCTCCTGTGGATTTACTTTCAGAGATCTTCTCATTAGTTACTGGTAGCTTTCCTGTGTTTGTGATAGGGTGTTCTAAGAGGCCCTTGAAGTTGCAGTCATTTCCCATCCTTCAGCCATTTCCTCAGATTATGTTAACTGGGCAGGTGTAGTTCAACTGTGCCTCAGCTGGAGACCTGGTGTCTGCCTCTAGTTCAGGTCTCTGTTCACTGAGGATGAACACAGGCTCCTTCTCTACTACCTGGAATTAGTTGTCCTTCAAGCCATTAGTTCTAATACCAGCCCCTCCCTCTGTTGATCAATATCGTACTCTGTTTTTTTTGCTTTCAGGGCAAGTTTCTGGCTTTTTATCAGTATGCAAAATCATTTAATTCAGATGACTTTGACTATGAGGAACTGAAGAATGGGGATTATGTCTTCATGAGGTGGAAGGTAAGGTCCTATCCAGGCCTCTTCCAAAACTTCCATGTGTGCTCCATATACCTCTCTACAGAAGGCAGGCCTCCCAGTCAGGGGCCTCTGTGCCCTGTGCTTGTAACAGTGTCTTCATGGCAGGGTCTTTATACACTTGTAAAAAGCAGCCACAATTCCAGAGCACACACTGCTGAGTCCCCAGCTGGCTTTTCCGGTCACACTGACAGCAAGTGGGCTGTGCCCAGGTGGGTACCCTCTGACACTGTTGTTTGCATCTTCTTCCTTTCCCTTCTCCCACCCAGGAATCCCTTTGAACTTCCAGGTTGAATCATCCAAGTGTTGTGTGGGTTCAGGGCAACTTTCTTTGAACTTAGTCATCCATTGCACCCTGTTCTACCACAGGCTTAAATGCCATCAGAGTGACTGGTCTCCTTACCACATCCCTTCCCCAGGGCCCTCTGCTTCCTGCAGCTCAGGAAATGAGGGACCAAGAATGGAATGTAGATTTTCCCCTCACTGCCCTGGTTGATTCAATGGTTTGTCCCTTGCCCGAGGAGTCCTTTTGCTCCCTGCTCTGATAGCAATATAGGTATAGACACAGGATAGCAAAATCCTGGAGTAGATCTATTAATTTACTTTGGGGACATGCACCACTCTCATCCCCTAGTGCCTTATTGTAGGAAGAAAGCTATTTTAGCATGAAATCTTGTTGACTTTCCTAAAGACAAAGCATCTAGAATAGTGGTTCCCCATTTTTATTTTGTGAAGTCAATCGTTTGCGGGATGGGGATCATGACTCCTTTACTAGACAGGTACAAGGTTTGGTGAACAAATGCTGAGCCCTGCCCTCCCAGCTTGCCATCTAACAGGACGCAGGCCAACTAAACCTTTTTAAAAAAGCATCTTTTGTCCTAATTTGAAATTTAAAAAAAAAAAAATTGGCAGGGCTAGGGATCAAACTCAGGGTCTTGTGCATAATAGGCAAGTGGTCTGCTACTGAGCTACATCCCCATCCCTAAATTATGTATAACTTCAGAGGCTGAATAAGAGTGTCTTTAAATTTGGGGGTGGGGGCGGATTTGGGAGCATAGCTTAGTGGTAGAATTTGCCTAGCATGTACAAGATCCTGGGTTCCATCCCAGCACCACCAAAAAAAAAAAAAAAAAAAATTGAAAGCAATGGAGTTGTCTCTGAAGAATTTCTCAGGGTGACTCACCAGTGAGCCTTTGGTTGATATCCTGAGGTCCTGGGGCTTCTGACCTAGGCTTTCCAGGAGAATAGTAGCAAGGACATGGCCTTTCAACTCTTGGTGCCAATACATTGGCAAACTTGCCTCTCTTCGTAATGCACCTGGTCAAGATCAGTGCTGTTCTGGTTGTTTGGATGAGGTGTAGAGCTTTGGAGATGTCACAGGGTCTCCTGGCAATCAATCCACCCCCAGAACTATCACAGACCAGAAGTGACTCACTATTCTAAAGCTGATCGAGAGCCCAGTGACAGTTCATGGGAACTGGAGCAGAAACATACTCCTTCCAGGTCATTTCTGTCTGTGGTCTCTGAAATATAGTTGAGCAGGTTGACTGTCATTGATTTATCTATTAGGTGCTTGGGGCTGTGGTACTTTCTTTAAGTCACTAATCCTGGTGAGCTCAAGACAGTTTGCCATGTAAGTACATAAAATGCTCCAGCCTCATGTGGGCACTATCCAGAAGTCAAGCCAGGACCCAAAGGCTTGCTCTCACCCAACAAGTCTGGCTCAAAATATAAAGGTCATACTTTTTTCTCATGTGGTCCTTAGAACCCCTTGATGCTTAACAGGGAGGCCTCAGGGGTGGTCTGAGAACACTGTTACTGACGGATCCCTCATCTGTGTGCAGGAGCAGTTCCTGGTCCCAGACCACACCATCAAAGACATCAGTGGTGCTTCCTTTGCCGGCTTCTATTACATCTGCTTTCAGAAGTCAGCAGCCTCCATAGAGGGTTACTACTACCATCGGAGTTCAGAATGGTAAGGCCCCCAGTGGCCAGGGGCCATGGCAGATGCTGCCTGCCTGCCCTGGCTCTCCCCTGGCTCATCGCACCCAAAAGGAAATCTCTCACCCTGCCTCTGTATGGATTTCATGCTCTATTTGGGTGCTGAGGCCCTATTTAATTGACTTCAGTTGCTCAGAATAGGGCCTTATTCCCAACCACAGAGCAGACTAAATGAAATAAGACTGAAATATTATATGAAAAAGTTCATTTCTAAAATGCCTTCCTTTTTTTTTTGGCAGTGCTGGGATTGGAACCCAGTGCCTCATGCATACTAGGCAAGCACTCTACTTTTGAGCTATACTTCCTAAATACTTTTAATACTTTAATTTTGGCAATATTCATCTCATCTTTCTGACTTTACATTTATTCCTCCCAAATTTAATCAGTAACTAAAATGTAAGTTACTCCTTTGTGAGTTTTTGGCAGCCAGTATTCATCCTACATGCACTAGAGACCATGTGACTTGACAGTCCTGCTCTGTGTTCCTCCAAGGTGAAGCCGGAAGAGCACCTCAGTTGCTTGCTTTCGCTACCTTTTGGGGGACCCTCCTGCCTCTTTGCTGCTTCTTTAAGTACCTTGCTATACCTGGCTGGTGAGCCCTGTCATGAAACACCTGATTTCCTCTCAGAGGGTGGAAGCATTTTATTTTCTTCGAAATTTTTCATTCTTTGGTGACTCGAGAGTGACCCTAGCCTAGATAGACTGAAATTCTTAGTTCAGTGGCCAATCTTGTAGTCATGATCACTGGGTTTTTAGTAATCGTTGCTTTTTAAAATCAGATTGATTGATTGATTGATTGATTTTTAGTTGTTGATAGAGGTTTATTTTATTTCTGTGAGGTGCTGAGAATCAAACCCAGTGCTTCACACATGTCAGGCAAGTGTGCTACCGCTGAGCCCTAGCCCCTGCCCAGTAATTATTGTTTTCATATAAGTTTATAAAACTTTTCATAATCCTTTTTATTAAATAACAGCTTTATTAAGATTATTTGCATTTCATACAATTCACTCTTTAAAGTATACAAGTCAGTGATTTTGGAATACTAACAGTTGTGCAACCATTAACTTTAGAACACATTCATTCTAGTGGGGCACAGTGGCACATGCCTGTAATCCCAGCAGCATGGGAGGTGGAGTTTACCACTTGGGAGGAGGATCACAAGTTGAAAGCCAGCCTCAGCAACTCAATGAGACCTTATCTCAAAAAGGGCTGGGAATGTGGTTTAGTGGTTAAGCACTCTAGTTTCAATCCCCAGTACTAGGGGGATAGGAGGGACATCCAATGTCCTTCCTTCCTTCTGGGGATTAAACCCAGGGTCTTGCACGTGCTAGGCAAGTGCTCTGCCATTGACCCTTATGTTCATCCACCCAGCCTAGAACATTTTCATCACCATAAGGGGAAACCCATCCCCCTTAGCCATCACCCCCACTCTTTTTCCCCTCCCAGCTTTAGTCAACCACTAATCTTTCTCTGGGTATAGATTTGCCTGTTCTGGATATTTTGTATAAATGGAGTCCCACAACATGTATTCTTTTGTTTGGTCTCTGGCATTTTTTGCTAAGAATAATGTTTTAAGGGTTCATACATATTGTAACATGTATCAGAACTTCATTTTTATTACCAAATAATTTCCCATTGCATGAACATACAACATTCTATTTATCCACTCCTCAGTTAATGGACACTTGAGTCATAGCCATCTTTTGGCTATTCTGAATAATGCTGCTATAGGAGTATGAGTGTACAAGTTTTTTTGGTTCCTGCTTTCAGTTCCTTTGATTATATACCTAGCAGTGAAATTGCTGGGTCATACAGTAGTTCTATATTTAACTTTCTGAGGAGCCGCCAAACTTCTCCACAAGCAATGCATGAGGGTTTTGGTTTCTTCACACCCTCCCTAATACTTGTTATCATGTCTTTATAATTATAGCTATCCAGAAAGCCGTGAAGCAGTATCTCATTGTAGTTTTGATTTGCATATTCCTGATGGCTAATGCATATTCTTTTTTTTTTGGCAGTGCTAGGGATCAAACCCAGGGCCTTATACATGCTAGGCAAAAGCTCTTTTATTATTATTATTTCATTTTTTTAATTGAGGTTTTGTTGTTGTTTGTTTGTTTTGGGGCTTGTGGTACTGGGTATTGAAACCAGAACAGTTTACCACTGAGCTATTGCTAGCCATTTTATTTTATTTGGGGAGGGGTACCAGGGAATGAACTCAGGGGCACTTAAACCACATCCCCAGCCCTATTTTGTATTTTATTTAGAGACAGGGTCTCACTGAATTTCTTAGTGCCTCACCATTGCTGAGGCTGGCTTTGAACTCTCGATCCTCCTGCCTCAGTCTCCCGAGCCACTGGGATTACAGGCATGCTGCACCACACCAGGTTTAGGGTGCTTTTTTTAATAAGACATGCTTCATAATTAGAGCAGAATGTCTAAAATCTGTTCACCTTACACATAGTTCAGGAGAATTAATACATACACACACAGAGATCAAATAGGTTCAGCTTATGAACTGTAAATGAATTAGCAAAGCCAGATGCTGTAGTACCCATCTGTAGTACCACTACTTGAGAGGCTAAGGCAGGAAGATCACTTGAGCCTAGGAGTTCAAGGCCAGGCAGAACAACACAGCAAGAGCCCATCTCAAAACAGAAACAAAATGAATTGGCTTGTTAGGCAGAATTTGATTTGTCAGGCACTCTGGTTTAGAGGTTTTCTAATATCCTTTGCTCAGTGGGCATGAAGTAACTACTTCTCATCTTGTCTCTTTCTCTGTTACAGGTATCAGTCCCTCAATCTGACCCATGTCCCTGAACACAGCGCGCCCATCTATGAATTCCGGTGACAGCGGTTCAGAGTGGCAACCAAATAAAACTGAACTTGGCAACAAAGAGCTTTGCCAAGAAAATTGTGTACCTGCCAGAATCAGGAGAGGTGTGTTCCTGTTTCTTCACAAGCAGACTTGCATCAGAAAGCATGAATGTTAACTCACAGAATCCAAGGAGTGTGGCTGACCGGCGGGGCAGGTGGAGGAAGCCACCTCCCTTCCTCCTCCCTCTCTGTGGCAATTTGGTCGTCATCTGTCTCTAAGCTACCTTAAACGCACTTTTCCTTCCTGCACAGCTAACTTCTACATCACTGAAATGCCCATCCCTTCCTCGGCCCTTGCCTCCAGCCGAGTAGAAGGTCAGCTCCCGGGTCACCCTCAGCCTTGGTGCTCAGTGGTCCCTGCCCAGGCCCCTGTCCCTCCCCCAGTTGCTTGTCCGGTAGCCCAAGGAAAGGCAGAGCCCCAGCGCACTTCTGTGCCCCCAGAGCTCTGTACAAGGAGTTGGCCAGCTGTGGCAGCATTTGCTGCCAATGAAATGAGACCTCATCAGTCTTCGGTCCCAGTGCTTCGGGGGTCAACGGGCATTCCTGAGCCCTGTACTGTTAACAATGCAAAGCTAGCGCGTGGCTGTCAGGTTCCCTGGGCCTGCTGTGGGGATCACTAAATTTAAGGCTTCCAGATCCCTGGCAGGAACAGATCCCAAACCTGCTTACTCAGTACGTTTGCTCCAAACTTTTGAACTTGAGGGCAATACTAAACTTAAAAATAAGAGTTTTTTTATTACAAAATTATTTTTATGGTCCCTTTAATGAGGACCCAATGGCAAATGCACAATTATTCAGAATTACATTTTATCGTTTTCACATTGAAAACAGCAAATGTTGACTTAGTAATTTTTATATCTATATCTATATGTATATGTATATTTAATCAACCAGCAGTTTTGAAACGAGTCATCCTGGTACAAAAGTTTTGCAGTATCGCATAAATTATAGTGCTAAACACAAGAGCTGTTTTGGGGCCAGTTTAGCCTTTGTACCTCCTCCTTTTGCTACTCAAAACAACAGTGCTTCGTGTTGACCTTTCCACGAGGCCAAAGGGGTCTTCGTTCTCCAGAAACAGTGACTGAAATGGTGGGATGAGGGAGGGGTGGGAAACATGAACATGCTCAAATAACTCGAGGCTCATGTGCCAAAGTGTGTGTGTGCGCACGCACGTGTGTGTGTATGTGTGTGTGTGTGGTATGTGTGTGTGTTTTGTCTTGTTTCAATTTTTCTAAATGTTTAAGAAGCTTAGTGTGTTGGCATCAACTGTAGCCCACAAACATGGGCAGGGCTTTGAGGAATTGGCATTTTTCTGGTGATTTATAAGACAGTCTGAACACAAGAGGAAAAGCTTTAAAAACAAGATAGCATTGGAGCTGAGGATGTGGCTCAATGGTAGAGCACTGCCTAGCATGTGCGAGGCCCTGGGTTCCATCCCCAGTACCCCAAGGAAGAAAAAAAGCATTATAACCCACAGGAGCAGAGCAACCTACAGGTTGCATGTCCATAGGCAGCATAAAAGAACGCACAAAGCCCTTCAGTAGGATGAGTGGTAGGGAACGTTTTTTATTCTTAAGAAGTGACTTTCCTTTTAATGACTTATGTACTGTATGTTACTGAGACTGAATGTTAGGGGAAGCCTTAAAGGAGCAGATTTTGGGAAAGTAGCCAGTGGGCACTTGTGACATGTAAATTTGTAGTCCTAAGACCATTCAATAAGATCAGGACCTGGCAATCCTAAAAAGTTACTCTGGTAACTTTGATGGAAAAATCATTCACATCTATTTCCATAAATGAGTCCAAAATATTTTTGGACCTTAAAACTCAAGCTAGGTGCAGTGGTGTGCACCTGTAGTCCCAGCTGCTTGGGAGGCTGAGTTAGGAAGATCACTTGAGCCCAGGAGTTTGAGACCAGCCTGGGCAACATAGTGAGACCCCATCTCAAAAAAATAAATTTAAAAAAAAAAAAAAAACCTACCAAGACTGGCTCTGGTCACACTTGTGAAATGCTTACTGTCATTTCAGTTAAGCTGAGGGACATCACAGAGTAAAGGAGGACAAGGGGCTGCACTGGCTTTCCTCATGTGACACACCATTCCTCTTTGCCTCAACCCTCCTCTCCCAGCATCCTCGAGGGATACAGACCCCACTCAACCTGGTAGGAGGGGGTCATCCCCAGAGCTGGGGCTTGTGTATGTGGCTCATTTACAGGAACTGCTGGTGTCCTTTTGTAGACCAGTCAGGCCAGGTTCTGTCGTAGGGATTCTTCCTTTTTTTTTTTTCTTAGCTAAGTAATGAAGAACTCCAGTTGTACTGGGGGAAATAAAGATGTGATACCTTTACCAGACTCTTCAGGCATGTCTTTAAGGAAGATTTGTCCACTAAAAGTCTGCCCACTGATCACAGGGACAGGACTAAGCATTTTTCCACCTCCTCTTAGTAACTCCCAAATGTTCAACATCAACTCCTTTCTCTCTGTCCTTGAAGGACCTGTGGGGAATCATCTCCACCTGTAGTTATTCTTTCCTCAACCTTCTCAGTGGTTTACATGCCTCTGATACTATGTGCAATATTTTTGGTTGACACTTGTAATCCATCATTAAAAGATTAGTGCAGATTTCCTACCAAGGTCTTCCCCTACCCCAAATGAACCTGCCATGAGGTGGGGTCCTAGGGATTTGGCCGTTCTTACCCCACTGCTCAGAAAGCTTCTACTCTGCCGTCCCCAGCCTCAGCCCTGTTATGTCCTGACTTACCCTTCCACCCACCCATCCTTCCAAGGTTGATAGTGTTTCAGCTGCAGTCCAAAAGCAACTAGACAATGCCTAATGTTAAGTAGAAAGTCAATCTGTGTGCTGGTTCTGTTGGCAATGTTGAAATCATAAACTCCAGGGGAGCAAAGGGGTTTTTCAATGTCTTTTGCTTTCAGAAACAGGGAATTTATATTCTAAGGCCTTGAATTGATTTTTTTTTCCTCATAAAATAGTCTGATAAGCTAATTTTTAAAAAGAAATGCCATTAAGTATGTTGCATTGTGGTTTAAAATTACTAACGAGTTCTGAGAAAGAAAAATATTTGATTTTTGATCTTAAATGTTTTTAAAAATTAGATTTGAATGGGCGCAAAGTATGAATATTTTGTTTCTTTATGGAGGACATGTGGAAAGGGTTTAAGGGTTTGGGATGGGAGAAGTATTTTGCAGAGCTATCAATGTCCAAATAATTTTTAAAAAATAATAAAGGTATTTAAGCAGTGTGTGTGTCGTATTTTCTAAATCAAGAGAGTCCCATTAGCAGAAGCCACTCCTTTTCTGGCCCTTTGGCTGCAGAGCTCTCCAGGGCTGGCCAGAGACCTGTGTAGCCGGGAATGGGCTGAGGCCCTTTCAGGGGAACTATTACAGTGGTCAGATTGCGCCGGCCTTCCATTCTGGAAGTTTTCAGCCAGCCACTGCACACTTCTATTAGAACTCCATTTTGTTAATTCTGTATTTCTTCAGAAGCTTTTTTTTTTTTTTTTTAACCGAGAAAGGCACAATGGCTTACTCCTGGCGCCTGAGGACAGGAGGATCACAAGTTTGAGGTCAGCCTGGGCAATTTAGTGAGACCCTGTCACTAAAAGTGGGGGAGCACAGTGCTGGGGATATACAACTCACTGGTAGACATCCTGGGTTCAATCAGAAAAAAAGAAAATATGCAGATGGGCTGTCCATTCTCAGCTTTGCAGTCTGGTGTTGCAACAGGTGATTCATTTGCCAGGGTCTGTAGGCCATTCTTGCTACTGTGACCATGGTCCTCTGAGGGAATGCTAGAACTCCAAATCATAGGTACTTAAGTTCCTAAAAGGCATGGTATGGTGGCACATGCCTGTAATCACAGTGGCTCGGAGGCCGAGGCAGGAGGATATCACAAGTTCAAAACCAGCCTCAGCAACTTAGCAAGACCATCTAAAAATATCAATTTAAAAGGGCTGGGGATGTGGCTCAGTGGTTAATTATCCCCAGATTCAATCCCCAGTACCAAAAAAAAAAAAATGCATGGCTGTGTCCTGAAGCCAGATGGCAGCAAGCTTTGGCCCTTGATTGTGCTGCATCCTGGTCCTTAACTCAGCAGTCACACTTGATATCACCTTCCTAGGCATTGCCAAGAAACACAACTGGAAACAACCGTTTTTAAGAAAATATTTCAAGTGGAAGAGGTTTAAATTTTCAGCAAGTTGAAATGATAAGGGAATTTTCATCCATGACTGAGCAAAGTTCACTTGTGTGTGTAAAGTTTTTTTTTCTCCCATAAAATAGGATTTTTAAGAAAGGAACAGACTCAACACAGTGCTGAACTCATGATTAAAGACACCAGATTTTGTTGAGTAGAAAAGGCATGGGCAGCCTGAGTTCTCCCCATCCACCTGTAGGACTAATGTGCCCCCGTATGCATCAGCTAGTATCTCTGAGCTCAATTTCTCTCCTGTGGAAGGTGCAATTGTAAAAATGCAACACACATGGGCTCGGGTTGTGGCTCAGCCGTAGAGCACTTGCCTAGCACGTGCGAGGCCCTGGATTTGATCCTCAGCACCACATAAAAATAAACATAAAGGTATTGTGTCCAACTACAGCTAAAAAATTTTGTAAAAAATGCAACACATGAACTGGGGTTGTGGCTCAGCGGTAGAGTACTCACCTAGCACATGTGAGGCCCTGGGTTCTATTCTCAGCACCACATAAAAAAATAAAGTTATTGACAACTACAACTAAAAAATATTTTTTTAAAATGAAACACATATAAAATGTTCTTAATAACAAAAAGCCAGGTGTGGTGGTGTGTGCCTGTAGTCCCAGATACTTGGGAGGCTGATGCAGGAGGATTGACCAGCCTGGGTAACAACAGCAAGACTCAATCCTCCCCAAAACAAGAAAATAGTTGGGCACGGTGACACACCTTTAATACCAGCAACTCAGGAGGCTGAATCAGGAGGATCTCAAGTTCAAGACCAGCATGGGTAACTTAAAGAGACCCTATCTCA